GGTGTGTGTGTGTGTGTGTGAGTGAGTGAGTGAGTGTGTGTGCGTGAGTGTGAGTGCGTGTGAGTGTGTGCGTGTGAGTGAGTGTGTGCGTGTGAGTGAGTGTGTGCGTGTGAGTGAGTGAGAGAGTGAGCGTGAGAGTGAGTGAGTGAGCGTGAGAGTGTGACCGTGTGAGTGAGCGTGAGAGTGTGACCGTGTGAGTGAGCGTGAGAGTGTGACCGTGTGAGTGAGCGTGAGAGTGTGACCGTGTGAGTGAGAGAGTGACCGTGAGAGAGTGAGTGAGCGTGAGAGTGTGACCGTGTGAGTGAGTGTGACCGTGTGAGTGAGTGAGAGAGTGAGCGTGTGTGTGTGTGTGTGTGTGAGAGAGAGTGAAAGTGAAAGTGAGTGTGTGTGAGAGACAAACAAACACACACACACAAATATTATTCAATTTTATTTTTTTGCTTTGTTCCAAGATGGTTTGGTGAGAAGTGTGTTTTTATTATGACAGGTGGTTATTTATATAGTATTATAGTATTTATGAATATTTTACATTTGCTTTTATGTTGTATATTTTCTTAAAAAAATTTTTTTTTTAAATTTAATTTATTTTAGTATTTCAGTTTAAATAATTTTAATACTTCCACTTAAACTGCTTTTATTTAGTAATTTATTTGATTTAGTAAACTTATTTATTTTATTTTGTATAGTTAGTTATTTTATTTTATTTACATTTAAGAATTTGACATTCCCTGGGAATCAAACCCATGACCTTAGTATTTCTACTAATATTTAATTTTATTAAATTTTATTAAATGTTATTTTTAATTTTCATTTCACTTCATTTTTTTATATTTTATTTTAGTTTTCAAATGACTTTAACTAACTGTTGCTTAGTTCCAAGATGTGTTGGTGAGGAGTGTGTTTTATGACTGATGATGATTGACTGATGATCAGCTGAAAAGGATCATGAATATTCTTTAGACTGAGGCTTTATTCGCAATAAGAGCAGGAACGTGAATCATCTCTCGGTTCAGATCTCGTTCTACTTTCGCATGATATCAGGACATCCTCTCTGTCTGGAGTCACTGTTTTAATTAAAAACAGGATGCTCTTGTTTCTGCTTTGTCCCTGAAGATGCTCTTTCAGACGCAGATGTCTCTCGCAGCCTCTGGGGTTTTTCTACAAGCCTCTGCAAGACACAAAATCTCCAGAAACACACAGAAGTTTCTCTCGGTTGAACAAATCCTCAGACCGGCTGCCCCCAAAACCTACTTTTCAGAAACCCTGAGTTCAGAATCGTGCTGGTTCTGGAGTAATGCGGCGTCGTTACCTGAAGGATTTGTGTCCTGAAACAAACGTAAAGGGGAGTTTGTGTTCACAAGGTCAGCGCTTCATCACGTGCTGCTTTACTCCAGATCGTCATCTGCTGCTATTCAGACCTCAAGTGCGAAACAGTGCTGTTTTCTACTGCTACAACATTATTCATATGTTGAATTTGCTTTTGTTTTGCATTTTTATGTATTTTAATTTTAGTATTTCAGATTTAGTTGATTTTAGTACTTCAACTTATTTTATTTTAGTCAGCTGGCAATTTTGTAATTTTTTGTAATCTAAAATGTTTATTTTATGCAGTGCAGTGCAATTGGCATTCCCTGGGAATCGCTGGTTTGACTGACCCAACCCATGACAAATTAAATTAAATTAAATTAAAAAAATTAAATTAATTTTTTGCAATTGGCAGTCCTTGAGAATCGAAGTTTTTTTTTTAAGTTTAAGTATTATAAACCAGTAGACCTTTTTTTTGATAAACCTGTTGGGTTTGTCTGCAGATCCAGACTGTCACGTGTGTAAATATTGCAAAAAGTGCAAATCTCAACATTCATCTTCCCATTTTCCAAGTTTCAGAGATTCAAAATCTGTCAGATTCAGATCTACTCACTCTTGAGTGTTGCTTCACTTTTACCTTCACATACTGCAGAAGCACCAGGACGATGAGTTCGGTTCCCAGTGAACACGAACATATAACCTGAATGCAGTCAGTAAGCGCTTTCTTCTGTTTGTCAGGCTCTGATATTGTCCAGTGGATGCAGAAGAACCTGAACATTGAAGACCAAGGTACAGTAAGATTTGAGATCATATTAAGCTGTGAAACACTGTCTGTCTTTCCTGAAATCACTCTCTCAAACTCACGAGAGCTTACAGACAGAGAGGAGAGCCGCGGATCTGTCCTGTCTAATCTGCTCGTGTCGCGGTAAACTCGTTAGGCAGATCGTTCAGACCGTTCGTCATTATTCAATCATGCGGCCGTAAATAAACGGCTTGAGGAGGAAATCAAGCGCTGCTGTTTACATCCACTGAGCTTCATTGATTTGTTTTTAGCCCAACATGACCTTCATGAAATCAGACGCTGCTTTCCATTCAATCAGACGCACTCTTAACAGGGAACGTTGTGGCAAGGTTCTCTCAACGTTCTGAACAAACATTCTTCCAGTAGTGTTAATAGAGCGTTCGTTCAGTGTTATCTAGGGCACATTATCAAAATGTTACAAAAACGTTATTTATTAATTGTTCATGGAATGTTTGACATTCAGCTACAAGCTACATTAATGCTAGTTTCAGAATGTTCAGAGAAAAGTAACGTTCTGAAAATTTGATTTGTCAAAAGTAACAAGTCACAAGTAGTTTGCAAAATGATAAAATGGAACATTCCGGTAATGTTTTCTTTAACGTTCAGATAACCAAGAAAAAAACTTTTTTTTTAAACATTTAAAAAAAAACTGGACGTTTAGACATTCAGACGTAATGTTTTCATAACTTAATGGATACTTTTACAAAACTTTCTTAGCAGGTTTATTATAGTTAACTGAAACTAAAACTAAATAATTAAAATTAAATCAAATAAAACTTTAACTGAATAAAATAAATAAATAATAAAATATAAAAAAATAAATAAAATATTAAAAACTTAAACTTGTATTTAAGCTAGTTTCTCATTTTCATTTAGTTTATCTTGATGTACTTAAATATATTATACCAAAAAAATGAAAGTAATGACAAAAAAAATAAAAATGACTGAAACTTTAACTAAAATGAAAATATATATTTTTTTTAAATTTTTCATATATGTGGAAAAAAGGTAACTGCGACTATTTATCTCACAATTCTGACTTTTTCCTCACAATTCTGACTTTTTTCTCAGAATTGTGAGATATAAACTCACGTTTGCGAGGAAAAATCAGAACTGCAAGTTTTTATCTTCCGATTGTGAGTTTATATCTCGCATTTCTGTGAAAAAAAGTCAGAATTGTGAGATAAAAAATCACAATAACCTTATTTATTTTTTATTCAGTGGCGGAAACAGGCTTCCATATATAAGTAATTCAAAATATTAATTAAAAAGTTGTATCTCAGTGATACTAAAATAACCCTGGATCTGTGTTAGCAGTGACAAGCGCAGATGACCAGGTACAGAAACATGACGCATGCACATCTGCATTCACATCACCTCTGTGCATTTGTTTTTAATGCCTTTAGTCTCCGTTAGTCCAGCTGTGTGTCTCAGTGTCAGTCAGATCCAGATTCAGCTCTGTTTGCGCTTCATTTGCAGTGCATTATGGGAACAGGGGATTTCAACACATTCAATGACTGTTTTTGCTTTTGAAGAACCAGGAAAATCTGTTTTTTGGAAACCTGGAAAAATGAGGAACAATGTGATTTCTAGACCTAAAAAATGTCATGTAAATGACTACATGTTAATATGCTATGGGCATTTTATAATTAATATGCATTTTACTAGTTCTGCAAAGCGCTAAAATAGTTTTTCTGGTAGAAATTGTGTTTTTAAAAAATCATTTTCCAACTGGAAAAGTTATGTAAATTCATTGGTTAAATAGATCAGGATCCCTGAAAAACATTCAGCTCTTAAAACATCTGGAAACCTGAAATGTAATGATTTGAATGATTTTTAAATTAACATAAGTTTTGAAAGCAAATCTAGAGCTCGGAGTGGCTTTGGAGTCAAAAAGGTTGAGAAGCGCTGATCCAGAGTCTGACGGAAGGGGAATGTGTGTGTTAGTTGTCTAGAAATAATTCATCCAAGCAATTTAATTCTGTCATCATTCACACAGCCTGTGATTTCAAACTCGTCTGACGTTCTTCTGTGGAACACGAGGAGATGCTGAGCGTTCAGAAGGACTTTCTGCTAAACGTCTTTTCTGAAGTCGTATATGTAGTGATGTAACCGATGAGTTTGTGTTTTGGGTGAACTGTCCCTTTAATTCCATTGCATTATCGAGCTGAGCTGCATTATTTACTCAGAGGTCATTTATGATATCTGAAATATGAAAAGACTCCAGACAGAGATGAGATGAGACGATTGCAACTGCTGCAATCAATAGACAACAAGCATCTCATCTGAAATATCTCAAGACCTCCATTTGTGTGTGTGTGTTTGCGTTTGTGTGTTTGCGTTTGTGTGTTTGTGTTTGTGTGTTTGTGTGTGTGTGTGTTTGTGTGCGTGTGTGTGTTTGTGTGCGTGTTTGTGTGCGTGTTTGTGTGCGTGTTTGTGTGTTTGTTTGTGTGTGTTTGTTTGTGTGTGTGTGTGTTTGTTTGTGTGTGTGTGCATTTCTGTGCGTTTGTGTGTTGCAGTGGAGGCTCTTCATCTGGGGACGCTGATGGCGGCTCACGGTTATTTCTTCCCCATATCAGACCACGTTCTCATGCTGAAGGATGACGGAACCTTCTACCGCTTTCAGGTGAGACGCTCTGAGATTCTCTCATCTGATTGGCTGAAAAACTCGTGGCCATCTGAAGACCCGAACCGCTGATCTTCACATGTGTGGATGTTTCCATTAGTGTGATGAAACATGATCATTCATATTCTGATTCATATTCATGACATCATTCATAATCTGATTCAGATTCATAACGTCATTCATATTCTGATTCAAATTCATGTTACGGTCTCATGCATATTCATAATGTCACTCAAATTCATATTCATAATATAATTAATATTCTGATTCATATACATGTTATGGTCTGATGCATATTCATAATATCATTCATGGTCTGATTCAAATTCAGATTCATAACGGCATTCATATTTTGATTCATATTAATGTTATGGTCTGATGCATATTCATAATGTAATTCATATTCTGATCCATATACACGTTATGGTCTGTTGAATATACATAATGTCATTCATATTCTGATTCAAATTCAGATTCATAACGTCATTCATATTCATGTCATATTCATATTATGGTCTATGCATATTCATGATGTCATTAATATTCTGATTCATATTCATGTTATGGTCTAATGCACAGTCATAATATAATTAATATTCTGATTCATATACATGTTATGGTCTGGTGCATATTCATAATATCATTCATGTTCTGATTCAGATTCATAACATCATTCATATTCTGATTCAAATTCAGATTCATAATGGCATTCATATTTTGATTCATATTCATGTTATGGTCTGATGCATATTCATAATGTAATTCATATTCTGATTCATATTCATATTATGGTCTATGCATATTCATGATGTCATTCATATTCTGATTCAAATTCAGATTCATAACGGCATTCATATTCTGATTCATATTCATGTTATGGTCTGATGCACATTGATAATGTAATTCATATTCTGATCCATATACACATTATAGTCTGATTAATATTCCTAATGTCATTCATATTCTGATTCATATACACGTTATGGTCTGATACATATTCATAATGTCATTCATATTCTGATTCGTATTCATGAAGTAATTAAATGTTTTATGCTTATTCATATTCAGATACATATTCATGATTTGATTATTCATTTTCATGATTTCATTCATATTCTAGTTCATATTTATCATTCATGATCTGATACAAATGATTTTGCATATTTATATTCAAAATGGAATTGATATTCTAATGCATATTCATGATATTCACATACATATTTTAGTTTTCATATTCATTATTTCACTGTTCATATTCATGGTGTCATTAACATTCAGACACATATTCATGACTTTATTCTTCATATTCATGATGCCGTTGATATTCACTGTATCGTTAGCGGTAATGAGCAGGTTTGGTTATTCCAGTGACTCCAGTAAGGTCAAATCATAATTCTACACATACAGTGAGATTCTAGAGGATTCTGTGCTTCAGATGTGGTTCCAGCAGGTGTGAGATTAAACATTCAACATGTGTCTGTGATGTTTAGGTGGCCACATTATTTTGCCTATGTAGTGAATGTAGTTCATATGTGTGTGTGTGTGTGAGACCTGAAGTGAACATTGAGGCGTTTTTGACTGCTGTGTCCCTGTTTTGATCGCAGACTCCGTACTTCTGGCCGTCAAACTGCTGGGAACCAGAAAACACTGACTATGGTAAGAGCGTCTGTGTGTGTGTGTGGTGTTGTGTTTTATCCTCCTCTGATGTTCTTGAGCCCTGGCGTCCTGAAACACGAGAAAGTGTCGGACCAGATCAGACCAATCGATCAACAAACTCTACCTGATGTTCATCAGTGAGACGGAGACAGAGACGCCGCACCGGAGCGACACACTCCAGCTTTAAACAGACCTGTCCATTGATTATAATCTCCATCAGATTAATTATATGATATGATAATTCATTAATCAAATGAAAAGCCCCCAAATGAAGATAATTCAAAGAGATGATAGTGCACAGACAAGTAAAGCATTAGATGGAGCATTAGATAGTTTGTGAATAAAAATAATGAATTAAAATAAGAAATACGATGTTTGTTTACATCTTGATTTTCAGCTGTTTTAGCTTATTTTAGTGCTTGTTTTGTCTTATTTGAAATCACTGAAGTCATCTTGCGGGCGTTTGGAAGTGTGCTGATGCCCTCTAGTGGACCCCGGACCCCTGGATGAGAGCCACTGCTTTATATCGCATGTTTATGAGTCTGAATGTGTGTGTCTGTGTATAATATAAAGCTTATTTACTGTCCTTGAATCTGAATGTCATATCAGATCAAATGCATTTCTACAGTTTCAGTGCAGTGAAGCATCGTCGGGTTTATATTGCAGACAGAGACTTTCATCACATCTAAAACAGCTAAAACTGTCTCTGTCTGTCTGTCTGCAGCGGTGTACCTCTGTAAACGAACAATGCAGAATAAAGCTCGTCTGGAGTTGGCCGATTATGAAGCTGTGAGCATCTCTCTTTTCTGTTTGATTTGCATTAATGAAAATCTCATTCTGTGAATAAACAGGCTTTATTACGGTGGCTGAGAAGTGCAAAACAAATCACAATTCTGAAAACAAAATAACAAATTACAAACGCAAATGCAAGTCTAAAAAACTAAATAACAATTCAGAAAACACAACGACAAATTTGAAAACAAAATAAAAATTTTTAGACTTGCATTTGCATTTGTAATTTCTTATTTTGTTTTCAGAATTGTGATTTGTTTTGCACTTCTCGGCCACCGTAGGAATGTCGGCTGCCTTTGACGTCACAGCCCAGAAGAGT